TTTGGGATTTTTTAGGAAACTAAAATGGAAAATATTTTTAAAATATTTCTAAAATTATTTTTTAAATAATAACTAATTATTTATCGAATAATGACAAATTTTTTCCCTTAACAACCAATTAAATTTCGCCACACCAGCATGCGGGGTCCACTTAATCATATTAATTATGAATTACAATACTAAGCTACTCCTGTGATTTTTATAAAAAATATAATATAACTGAGATGAGAGCTTAAATAATAATTACATTTTAAAAATATATTATTTTATATTTAATTCAGATAATATTTTTATTATATTCAATATTATTACGAAATTATCTATATAAACCATAGATAAAATAAATTAATAAATAAATATAAACTAATTTAAGCATTGTCTAATTGCATTATTAAAACAATTATAACACTATTAAATATGTAATATATCTTAATACCAATATTCTTATGGATAATTTTCTACCTTAAAAAATTACAGATTAAAATAATTAAAATTTTAAATATTTAATAGTGTAATTTTTTCATTAAATTCAACGACAAAAATATTTTTTTTCAGTAAAAATTATAGAATTTATATATCTTCACATAGTTTATCATAAATATTAATATTTGTTGTGCGATAAAAATTCAATTATTCGTATAATATATTATTATTTAATAATTTATTTTAATATATAATAATAATATTTTTATTATTATTTTATTATTTAATTTATATTTTATATTTAATTTTAAAAAATAATATTTTAAATTAAAATTTACTATAATATTTTTTTTTTTTTTTATAGAATATTAACACCTAATTGCGACAGTCAAATGGGCCACTAGTTAATTGCAAAATCTGCAAACATTTTTGTTTACGAACTTTTGTTTTTTTTTAAAATAAAAATAAAAATTTGTTTATTTGAAATTTATAATTAAAATTGCTCGTTATTCGCACACAATAATAATAATAATAATAATTGCGCCAGATTGCAGACAAGCGTTCTTCAGGTTTATCTTGTTCGTTTGACAAAAAGCTTCAAATGCTTCCCCTGCATTTTCTCTGCCTTAAAAACACGCCGCCGTTTTCAATTGCAGAACCCTTGTACTTTCAAAAGAATCCTAAGATTGTCTTCTCCCGACATCCGGTGCTCACTGGCGGCGACGAAGATGGTATCAAGAGGAGAAGAGGCAGAACTACTGTTCACGCTGTGGAAAAAGATTCACAACAGTTTGAGGTGGATCCAGATAAGGCCAAACAAGCCCTTAAACAACTTGACCTGCAACTCGAATCCCTCTCCAAGAAACAAGTCAGTACCCCGAAGATTAAGGGTACTCCTCTCGCTCTTTCTGTTTATTGGTTTCGTGCAATTGGTAACCATTTACACCTGGTTTATTTTGATTCTTATTTCATTTTTTTTATAATTGATTACTAGAGTTTTCTCGATGGAGAATTGCCTCGTAACTTTCATGCTTGACTTGTATTCGAAGTGGAAATAATGGAATGAGGATTGAATCAAAGTATTTAGAAGAAATGAAACTTGGAGCTTGCCAATTGTTTGTTTAAATGCCCAAGAAGATTTCTCTTTGCTGCTAGATAGATACTTAGGTCTATGATCAATTTGGAGGTTGCTAGACTATGCTATGTGGATGTAGTGTATGCGTAGGTGTACAACAGTGAGATATGTGGGAAATTTTGTGTTTGTTAGAATTTCTAGAGAAAAGATTTTTGAAGTCCTAGTAAGACCTTACTTACTTGAGGAACTACCTCCTCAACCATGTAAATAGTTGGATTAGAGCCGTTAGACAGGGAAGATAAGAATTCTTTTTCCTTTGCCTGAATCCTTTAGTGGAGTATTATTTTTGCTGTAGCAATTAAGGGATGGTAAAGTGGTAGGAAAGCACTGAGTTAGACTTTCAAGTCGGAGGTAGTTCAAGCTGTGTTATGCTCTTTGTTACTCAGTGTTGGCTTTTATTTCTTTTTTTTCCAAGTTCATGGGCTTTTTAGCTCCAATAAGCTTTAAGCTTAAAAATGCATTTGGATTTGGATTTTTATTTTTTGGCTCTTAGACTAATACAATTTGCGAGTGTTGAGTAAAATAATAGTTTGAAGACGAGCAATTTATTGGTTTTGATTTTAGATTCTTAATGAGGATAATATAGGTATTTGTGGTTGAGTTTATAGTTTTAGACACTTCTGAGTGCAAGTGAGTTATTAGTTCAGCTAAATACCCTTTTTAGATTTTAGTGTTCATGCTTCATAATTTGTTAATCAAAGTGCTGATACATTATGGTACTTGTTTGTTCTTAATAGTGTTTAATTTGCAGTTCTCATGCCCAAGAATTAAAAAAAAAAAATTGATCTGCTTTCATTTTTTTTGCTTTGGAAAGAACTAGGCATGATAGATATTTGCCAAAACAAACTTGTCTTCGGGTCTGGTTATTAAAGGACTTGTTCTTGTGCTAATTAAACATATATTAATGCTAAAAAAATGTTTTGGTTGGTGGTAGGTTAAGATAAATAGTCCATCATACTTACTTTACTTTCAACTGATTGCAGCCTCAGATGTGAAGCTTACAAGAAATTCAATCACTGAGGAGCAACTTCCGGAACTTTCAGGGTCGTTCCTTGCATATTCTGCTTTTGCTCTTCTTGCATTTACAATTTTCTACAATGTGCTATTCTATTCAGTGATAAAGCCATCAATAGATGGACCAGTAGCAGTGCTAGCTTCTACTGAGGAAACAGTATCTTCTGCATCATTTTTGCAGTTGTTGCAGCCAATTCTGGAACTTTTCTCTGTTCAAAGATGACAAGTGGTTGGTAGCAACTTTCTGCTTGAATCTGAAATTTTTCCGTGTCATAATTCTGCATTAACTTAAATGTTTATATGCATATGGGAAGGAAGAAAAGGAACCTGCAGATTTCAGGTTTCTTAATTCAATTACTAAATATAATTTCTTCAATAGCTTTCTCTTTCTTAACTACACATGGAAACTGAGCAGGAAAAGAAACATCCTCTAATCTTTTAGCAGTTTCTTCCCCATGATTCTCTGCTGCACTCTGCTCAGAGACTCTGAAAATTCTGTTTGCATTAGCAGTTAGCACCATCAGGGACTTAATGTTAGAAAGAGCAAGTAATAACAGAAGTCATTTCGTTTCTTAATATTGCACGTTTGTTAAGAGACAAGGTTGCAGAAAGAATTTGAGTATCCATTGTGTTATGCAGGTCAGCCAAATAAGAGCCATCAGCTGAGAGAAGTTTCTAAATGATGCAAGTACCGGAGAACCAAGAAAATTTCCCAAAGCCTGCTATTTAAGCCAACTGCTATCCTAGAAAAGAGTTTGCCTCCGGGAGCCCCGAGAACCATACAAGTTAGTGAACTTTGGAGCCTAAAAATCAAAATATCGCCTACACAGATTGACTTTATGCTGAATAATGATCCCAACGATGGAGACGATGTTATCTGTAGTTGACTAGAGTTGAGAGAATAACTATTAGTAGAGTTTCTACCATGTTATGAAAATAATTGAGCGGTAACTCCAAAATGAACACTATCATGATTGGGAAAATGAAAACATGTTCATCAATTAACTATTGGTGCTTAGCAACTGGGGATCTGTTCTGGAGTCTGCTTTCACAACTTGACCTGTATAGGAGAATTGACAACCTGGAGTCAATAAGGATTGTGTAGGTGAAGCAATGGTGAGAAACACAGTAAATCATAGAAAGAATACAAACAGACCCTTTTACAGCTTGAAATTAAGTAGATAAACAAAGAGAATGATTGGTTTCCTTCTTTTCCCCTTACTACTTGATAGAACACATCTTGACTGTGATGAAGTAGACAACTTTCTAGAATTTACAGCTATAGTGGCAGTAAGAACCCTAAAAAAGAAAAAAAAGAATTATACAACAGAAATAATTCCGTCAAGCCTAAGCCAGCACCCAATATATTAAAATTCCCCCTTTCAAGAAAAGTAAAAGAGATATATTTGATTATAAAATGTATAACTTTAAATGTGAAAGAAGTAAATACAAAAGATTCAATTATGATAACTTGTAAATTACTTAATTATTATGGTTTGAATTACTCTACATCAAGTACCATTATAAACCTCTCTCTCTCTCTCTATACATATACATACACACACACACACACATATTTTGTGCCAAGCGAATATACCCACACAGCTCAACTGTCCCCAAAATCATTTAATTAGCTACAATGGAAAACCATATATGCATGTGTTAGATATCTTTCCTTAAAACTTTTTTTCTTAGCATTCTTGATATTTCATGTGACAACTAGCAAGCACATTAAATAATAACATTATTATTATTATTATCATCATATATTTATGTGCTTTTTTGGGTATGTGATATTGTTATTAATTCAATTTGTGAGTAATTCAAGATTCAGAAACTAAATTGAAAACAAACTCAACCCAATAAAGCACAAAAAGAAAAAAAAGTGATAATCAAAGCATAAATTATAGATATATCTGAATCTTATAATTGAGAGACAAAAAAGAAAAAGAAAGGGGGAAGAAGGATACTCAAAAGCTCTTCGGAAGGGCACATACCCCCCCATGCCAGAAAGGGTATGATGAACCCTACTTAATTGACTCAGTGACTTACAAAAAGCCTTCCGTTAAACAAATTAGAGCTTAATTAGACGAGTACAAAGAGGTCAAACCAAGGTGCCAATTTGACCACACTTTTGACCACACTCTAATACTAGGGCTTGGATTTTATA